GTCCGAACGCCTCTGCGATGGCACCGTGCATACCAAGCGGGTTGTCGGGATTGAGTTCTTCCTGATAGACGCCAGCTATGATATGATGTTAGCATCAATAACCACCATTCGAGGGAAATACTCACAAAGAAAGTAGTCCGTCAACTCTTTTGTATGCGCAAGGCATTGAAGCGCTGAGTTCATGAAGCAAGTATTTCCCCTACACTTATGTCAGTGGATCGACTACTATTTGACAACGAGGCGTACATGTTTCCTAGACCAAGGGTGCCAGGTTCTTGGATAATCTTACTGCTGCCCTTGGAAAATCCGAATGATTTGAAGGGAGTAACTGATGACTCCTTCGCTTTGGATGAAGAGCCTCGCCGTGATGGCGACGGAGTGCGAAAATGTTGACTGTTTTGAAATGCTGATGTTCGTTGATTACTCAGACGGCTGAAGAAATCGTTGTCATTGCTATAATGGGGTGGCGGTACGTGTACTGCTGAAGGTGGAGGTGCTCGCACAACTTGAGAAGCATCAACGATCCAAGCGCCATTCTCTTGAAATTCGACCACGAACGGATCTTCCGGTTCTATCATGTTGTCCTCGACTGTCTTGTCTGTCCCTTCACTCATTAATTCTGCTCCCCACGATGCGAGTTTCGATGCGGGAAAGTGAGAACCAGAGAATTCGCCGGGTTCAATCTTCCAGATTCTGTAAGGAACGTTACTGAGAGCGGTGACGGCAGAGACGAGCGCCTTGAAAAGGGTCTTCATTGGGTCTTTGATAGAGACAGTAACGTAGGCATGCGCAGGTCCTGCGATATCAGCATCGGGACCCAAATCTTTGAGCACTAAGACCTTGAGACGCGGAGGGCGAAGTTCCAAGGCGGTCTGCAAAAAGGCTTTGGCGATGACAGATCGCGGGAGCGGACGTATCGGCTGACCATACCTGAAGGGATATGAAGAAGTGAATCAAAGCCAAGAAGTGACACGCACCAAGCCACAAGCTCAGACCAAGCTTCTTCAGGTAAGAACTCGACGTCAATGTGTTCGACTAGATTTGAGGTAAGATTCCCCTGAGAGTCAAATAGAGAGGAGTTGTCTGGTGGACCGATATCCTTTTCCTGCAATGACTCGAGTGACTTGTCTGACAAGATTCTGCAAGCGATCTCCCAAGGTCTGAACCATTGACGAGATACGATATACCAAGTGTCGCCAGCGACCATAGACTTGTCACGTAGGTATTTGATGCGCGCCACTTTCTGCTCGATGGTGAGAGAAGCTGGTTGAGTTGAGATATCTTCACCCTGTTCTGCCATGTAAGCGTCAATTTCAATCTCTTGCTCTCTTGCAGAATCAACCGAAGATATAGGATCTGTCATGATAGGGATAGGTGTAGCTGATGAAGGGCCTTCTGAAGCAGAGCGCTTTATAGAAGATGAAGAATCTGATTGCATAGATTGGGACCGCTGTCTCTTTCGACTTGCGGAAATCAATTCTGTTGGTTTTAAGGAAGGTGATGCTGCAGGTGATGGTAAACTCATGACATTTAAATGAGAAACCTCCTCGACAAACAAGAACGCGTATGTAACTCTTTCTTCCCACGGGGGATACGGATCGACATCCCGCAAGCCTGCCATCAACGGGGACTTCACAGCCTTGTTTATAATGGCCTCGAGTCATATTACCTCGATCACGCTTCTAGTAGTGATCTTCGATGGACCCGTTAAGATGTCATAAGTAGCACCCTGGCCATGACTCAGACTTTGTAGGTAATTTCAATTCAGTCCTCGACGTATGCACTAATTTATAGGCATCGCGTTTTTTAGACTAGACTCTTGCATATTCGGGTCAGACTTATATGTCCGGTAGGCATCAACAATTCATCTCCGTTTCCAGATCACACACGTGAGGCTTGAGCCGCTCAGCCGCAAAAGCAGGTGCGTTTTTATATATTCGCTTCAGGAAAACATGTGTATCCGACGTCCGTACGTGCAGCTTACTACAGCAGCATGGTACGCTAGAAAAATTTTGAGTTTACTATCGAGAAAACGCTAAAAAAGAACCAGGAGCATCTCATTTTTTGCCGATCTGCGCCTCTATGGCCAGAATTTGAACCAGTTCATCCGACGATCTCGATTCCAAACACGATGTAAATCAATTCATAGATCGGCACCTCGCTGATCAGCACTTGGACCAACCAACGAGTTCAACATTCTGCGACCTGCAGCCACATATGGCGTGACCGAGTTTGAAAAAGGGCTTGTTCCTCTCTGACCTTGCATGGCCCAGATCGGCGTACATGGTCTCTGACTACATGACATCAGCCAATGTTGGGACTCGATCTAACGAGGCATTGTCCATAAGATAGACCTCAGTCATACTTTGCTTGATCATGTGATCAAAATCGTGACATTTCGTGACAAAAGTGCCAGAATTGCATCTCGTCCTTCAATTCATCTTTGTTTGCCAATGTAAAACCTAGGAAAGTTGACTCAAGTACATCCCCAGAGGACCTAGGTTTTAAAATTTGAATACCTCTCAAACTGAGAGCAGAGATAGCATTTCAATTTTATCAGCTACTTGAGATGTGTTCCGCTTTAGGAATTAGCAGCAAACAATAGAACTAAGTAATACTACTACACTACCTCTCCATCATGCCGAAACAAAAATTGTTCAATGTCACAAACCTTGGGAGTTGGGCAAAGCCACTTGGTCACTCAGGAGACAAAGAGAATGTAAGAAAAGTTATTTAACTAGCAGTCTACACGAATACTGACACAATGGCTACAGGATGTCCCAACAAAAGTTATTGTATCCCCTCCATCCAGTCCGAAGAAGAAAAGGCAAAAGAGAGAAATGGTTAGTACCACAATACCATTGGATCCTCCTCCCCTTGTGCTACCAATACCAGAGCCCTCTCCACTTCACGAGGACACCAATTCACCAAGAGAAAATCTCCTCGAGTCTTGTTAAGACCATGCACAAAGGGTAGGACTGATTCTGAGGGGCTTGGCTTCAGCTCGTGCGCTGCGCCCCTTACCCGAGTATGTGCCCTTAATTTCAGAATGATGTCCGAAGAAAGTCCAAGGACGTCCGAAGGACGTCTGAAGTGCGGGAAAGTTCAGAAGGACTTTCTGGACGAGTGCAAGTAACTTCTGGACGAGTGCAGGAAAGTTCTGGAGGAACTTCCGGAAATTACGATGAGGTTTTGTCCTGATACGGATACATGTAATGGCTACTTAGGACAAGTCCTAAGTAGAAGCAAACAGAGGAAAGGCTGCAAGGACAAAGTCCGAAGCAGAATAGGTCCGGAGGACCGCAGGAAAGTTTCAGACGAATGTCCGGAAACTTCGGAGGATTGGATGAGCGGATAAGCGGAGCTCTGGCCTAGGGAATTTCTCCCTAGGCCCGAGATGGATATTGACTAAGTCGATAGACTAGAACTGATATGAGGACTTTAGAGTGAGATCTAGTGCAAGGACTAATATGATATTCAGACTGAGGAACTACAGGACATATACAAGAGTTTATATACTAAGGAAATAACGGAAAGATCAGTAAGCAAGCGTCTGTTACAATAACATGCTGCCCTCACCCTATGCTCCCTCTTCCCAACTTACTGACACTTACCGACACAGCGGAACACCGCCAGAAGCCTAGAGCGGCCTGGATGCCGCTGGATACCTAGAGCAGTCTAGAGCTGCTGTGGCGACACCCCTGGCCTAGAAGGCCTCCCGATCCCATCATGATGGCTGTCCGCCTCATGTAGAACTAGACCAACGCATGCCGCCTCATGCGCTGATGGACCCTGAGGCCGGAGTGCCTCATGTACTTATCTTGACATAGAAGAGGCGCCGCATTGCATCTTATCAGACAAGCATGGCTTGCCTCATGGATCTTATCTATGACTAGGATAGATCCACAGATACAGACTCCTCCCGAACTATGTAGTTAGACACTATATAACATAGACACATATCATTGTATTCCTTACTTTGATATACTTGGTATACTCTAGAACTAGTACAATCCCAGTACTTGGTATTCCCTTGAAACATCCTCTCAGAGTGACTCCCAGTCCCTCTGTCTAGACCGCACTTCTAAGGCAAGCCGACGCTACCTTAGCCGTACATCCGTTAGCCCTACAGCTTGACGAGCCGCCGCGCTTACCAAGCTTGTCGGAGGATACCTCGACCTTCGATCGAGCTTAGAACCCGTCCTTCTGTCTACGCGTGACCGCTAGACGATTAGTCATTCCGACTAGAGAAGGCTCGACCTATCCAAGTCGTAACAGCGTCCGAGGCTATGTATGAAGCATAAGCAAAGTTATCAAGCGCGAGTCGGAAATGAAGCATAGGTTAACGGATCAGTAAGTGTACCGGTAGTAAGTATAACCGAGATACCGAGGACAAGGAATACCGAATAGAGGAATAGGCTGTGTTAACGTTATATGCACAGGAAATGAATTAGGAAGCTTATCGTATATCGGATTGGACCGGACCGGATGTCCGGACAAGAAGCATGGATATATGGGATATGATATTAGGGCAATAGGACAAAGGATGAATGATGCAGGCTAGCTGCGGAGGTATGGAGGTCTGATGTACGGAGGTAAAGGGATCTGGACATGGATGCGCGGATGTGGATGTGCAGAGGTGCAGGGATCCGGATGGGTAGAGGACTGGAGACATGGATAGGGCGTCCGAAGGTCCGGATGAGGCGTGGGAACATTATCGGATGTAGGTCCGGAATATGGGATATGACAAGTCTGAGCACAAGCATCTGAGTCAACTGGCTAGAGTAGATACTGTAACAGGGTTTTACAAGCCCTCACCCACTATTGAGGAGGCATTTTTAGCCTTCAATGACATCAAGAAGATTCTTAGACCACCAAAGACAACTGGTGGCTACAAAGACCCTGAGCTTGACTCAGTCTTTCATCGCCGACTCGAAGGAATGAGGCAATTCTTGTGGGTCTATGTCGACCCTCAGTCTTCAGTATATGGAAAGTGGACAATGGCATCATTACACACTGCAAAGGCTCTAGAACAAAAGCCTGCACACTCACGAGTACTCCGTGAACGAGTACATGCCTTCATTGCAGATCGTGAGGATCTCCCAATCAATATTTATGGGACATGGAATGAGTCACTTCTTGACAAAAACGAGGATCTTGCACAGGAAATACACATGCATCTACAAGCGACTGGAAAATATGTAAAGGCTATGGACCTTGTTGACTTCCTCGATACACCAGAAATGCGAAAATGGAGTGGAATCACAAATCGAATTAGTCTTGCAACTGCGCAGCGATGGATGAAGAAGCTCGAGTACCGCTGGACAAAAGACCCAAAAGGTCAATTTGTTGATGGTCATGAGAGAGATGATGTTGTGGCTTACCGGCAGGAGGTTTTCTTGCCTGCATGGGCAGCAATCAAGGAGAAGACTCGAAATTGGTCTTGTCACAACATCGAGACTGACAGAGATTACCCTTGACCATCGCTACAGGAAAAGAAGACTGTTGTGTGGTGGCATGACGAGTCCACATTCTATGCCAATGATTGTCGCAAAACATGATGGGTCCATGAAAGTGAAACAGCTGTGCCCTATGCGAAGGGGGAGGGACCATCACAGATGATTGCAGATCTCGTTTCTGCTGATTATGGGTGGTTGCGCTCACCTGATGGAAAAGAGGAGGCTCGCGTTTTCTTCAAAGCAGGAAAAAATTGTGAAGGGTACTTCACGAATCAGGACATCCTCGAGCAAGCTGAAAGGTCGATGGATATTCTAGAGAAGTACTATACCAATGAAAACCATGTCCTCGTCTTTGATAATGCAACAACTCACTTAAAACGTGCAGACGGAGCTCTCTCTGCAAGAAATATGCCAAAGGGAACATTGAAAGCACAAACCAATTGGGGTGTGGAGGTTAATGTTCGAGACACGGCTGGCAAACAAGTTTACAGCAGAGATGGCAAACCATTGAAAGAAAAAATTTGAATGGACAATGCAACTTTTGCAGATGGATCAAAACAGTCACTCTATTTTGGTGAAGATGCTGGACCCAAAGCAGGCCTCTTCAAAGGGATGGCTGTAATCTTGTACAAGCGAGGACTTATCCAAGAATCAAAGCTGCAAGCACAGTGCAAGGACTTCAAGTGCATGAAGGGAGCAACAAATTGCTGTTGTTGTCGGGTGCTGTACAATCAGCCAGACTTCATTGCTGTCGAGTCAAATCTAGAGAGGACCTGCAAAGCAAGAGGATTTTCAGTGTTATTCCTTCCAAAGTTTCACTGCGAGCTGAACTTCATTGAACAATGCTGGGGATATGAAAAACGAGTGTATCGTCAATATCCTACATCATCAAAAGAAGCAGACCTTGAACGAAATGTTCTCTCTGCTCTCCAATCAGTGCCGCTTGATAGTATGCGCCGGTGTGTTAATTGTTAAAACATTCAAATCTTACATTCAAATTTTCACACCAATCAGGTTTTCAACACAAGTCTGCTGATTTATGGATGCATACCATAGAGGATTGAATGGGAAGCAGGCTGCATGGGCCTTGAAGAAGTATAGAGGCCACCAAATGCTACCAGATAGCATTTTGCACAATCTCAACAAAGCTCGTGTATAGTGTTATTGTCAATAGTCAAATCACCTGGCCTTCCCAATAAGTAGCTTTACTAATACTGGGCAGTTACGTGCTTCGTCAATTACTAGAATAGTCATTTGCACTCAAACGCCAACACCAGCCATAAACCTTGCCCCAAACCCTGCGCATCCTTAGGTATATCTATGTATAAGGCGCGGGAAAGTTCTGTTCCGTGCCGTTTCGTCGCTAATCCTTCCGCCCCGTTATACGAACTGTTCCCACAGGTTTCCCTTCCCCTCCCTCATCGTTGTCTGTGATCTCGAGGCCGTCAGAGCTCTCCACTGATATGTAGGCTTGGTCCCGGACATCGCCCTTGATGGGCTTACTGTCTTTTGTGGACTTGTCTCCCTTCAACGCCCATTCCTCTCATCATGGAGCTCACCGTCGTTGAACCATCCTTCAAACCTGGTGCTGGCAAGGTATGTTCCCACTGGGGATTAATGCCAAGTACCTACTGACTTTGTATTGTTTTCAACAGTCCTTTCTCCTCCTCCGCTTTGCAGACGACATGTACACTGAGAGTTATATCAGCCCTATTGGTATGTCGCTACTGTGAGGCCTATCTAACTATCTACTGACTTTGTATTATTTTCAACAGTCCTTTCTCCTCCTCCACTTCGCAGACGACACGTACACTGAGAGTTATATCAGCCCTATTGGTACGTCACTACTGTGAGGCCTATAGCTAACTATCTACTGACTTTGTATCGTTCAACAGTCCTATCTCCTCCTCCACTTTGCAGACGACACGTACACTGAGAGTTATATCAGCCCTATTGGTATGTCGCTACTGTGAGGCCTATCTAACTATCTACTGACTTTGTATCATTTTCAACAGTCCTTTCTCCTCCTCCGCTTCACAGACGACACGTACATTGAGAGTTATATCAGCACTATTGGTACGTTGCTACTGTGAGGCCTATAGCTAACTATCTACTGACTTTGTATCGTTCAATAGTCCTATCTCCTCCTCTGCTTTGCAGACGACACGTACACTGAGAGTTATTTCAGCATTATTGGTACATTGCTACTGTGAGGCCTATAGCTAACTATCTACTGACTTTGTATCGTTCAACAGTCCTTTCTCCTCCTCTGCTTCGCAGACGACACATACACTGAGAGTTATTTCAGCACTATTGGTGTTAGGTATGTCGCTACTCTAGAGCCTATTCCTAGCTATCTACTGACTTGGTAGTCTTGTTTCCTCCACTATGCAGATGGCAAGCGCTCAGGCCCGCCTCGTTGCCAAACCTTCTGCTTCGCTTTACGAAGCATTTCCTTTTCATGTGCCATAATCTTATACGGCAGGGCCCGCCTTGTTGCCAAACCTTCTGCCCTGTTGTGTCAACTGTTCCCATGACTTCCCTTCTGCTTCCTCATCGTCGTCTCTCATCTTCAACCTGTCAGCCCTCTTCACGCATTATTGTGCTTGACGGCAAGATGATTGAGCTACTGCTGATGAGTTGGGTCCCTTTTGTGATTCTCTTCATTCATAGTGCTGACCTTGATCTTCTGTGGGTCTCACCGTTCCTACAGAGCGAGGCGGTGAAGAACATGTGTGGCTTCTATCCTTACAAGCTACGAAATCATTAGGGTATAATATATGTACTCAAACTGTTTGCAATATCATATTGGTCAATGAATGAACACAACCACAGTGAAGTGGAAAGGAGTTTGTAGCGAATGCAAGTTATAATCTGAGTCTTCGAAAACAGATCAGGATAAATTGAAAAAATCATTAGGCCATAAATAACACCGAGGTTTGTAACACTTCTATCAAAATCAAAGTTCATACGAAAGGGAAGAAGACCGGGTATGAATTGTGTTATCAGGTACAGCTCAAGAAGGTGAAGGCATCAAAGTGCCTGTGTGTGGTGCATCAGCCTCTTCGTCACTGCTCTCAACAGTATCCAGGCTCTTGTATGCCTTCTTGCGACGATGTGTGGAAGGTTCATCCATTGGTCGGACGCGTTTTTTCCCCTTGTCCGAGCGAGGCCGACGGGAAGGCTCGACAATCTCTCCAGTCTCAAGCTTCTCATTGTGCGCTCGTTGTAGCTGCTGATATTCATCTTCGTCCAGGAGTCTCCATGAAATAAGCTTGTCCTTCCACATCTTGAGGAGCATCTTCAGCTCAGGAAGGGAAGTAGAAGCTTCACTAAGGTTTTTGAAAGGGATGTGAGCGGGCCAACCTTCACAGATGACGCGATAACGTTGAACAACATTGCACCAGTAGTTTTTCCACTGCATTGTTGCCTTGGGTACCCCAGTAATTTCCTCTAAAGTAAATATAAGAATGTACTCACGGTTCTGAATTTTAAAAAAATGTACGAAGTGCGCCATTGATTTCTCGTCTTATTGATGTCCGCTCTGCCGAACAACGGTCCTTGTAATTGTGGGCAGCACCTGCCCAAATAATGTAGGTATCGGATGGTAAAAAAATAGCAATACCAATGAACTCACCTCGCATGCCTTGGATAGCAAAACCTTCCATCTTGCTGACGAGGTCCTGGTCGTCAATATTCATTATTGATGTCATGAAATTGTTGACACCTTCGGTGGCAAATATAATACCACGTAGTGGGATGTCAGTAGAGCCCGCCACTGTGTAAAGAATTGTTTCGGCGCCGGTGCGGCACTTAAGACTATTCAACTAATTTTATATCAGCCGCTGCATAAACTTGATAGCACAAAAGAGCACCTCATTCTCAATAGCCTTCAGTGTTAGTGTGACATCGTTAATCTTGGACTTCGTTGATATTCTGATACCTTTGGACTTGAGAAGCTTATTCTCCTCGTATTCTTCGACAAGATGGTCTTTTTCATCCTGAGAGAGCTCGTGGTATTCGTCGGTGTAGTTATGTAGAAGATCTTGCAACACGTCTTTTCCAGACCTAGTTAGAGCTAATTGCACTGTCAGTACTTGAACAAAGTAAGAAATGTATCATACCGTTTTCATCCTTTGCCTCCTGGTTTTTCTTCCAGCAAAAGGCATTCCAGGCGTTCGACTTTGAACGCTTAAAGCGCAGCCCTCCGCGGCCCATGTACAAATCATTTGTGACACGTCGGATACTCTTGTGGTGAGACGAGGCAATGGTCTTCACAGCTTTGTCGATAGAGAGCCAAGTGTCGTCAAGCGCTGTCTTGAAATCCTTGGATTTTTGGCGACGTTGGGAGGTGAGAAGAGCTCTCGCTTCCTTGCTAAGGATGACCTTTGGACGCAACCAAGATAAGCCTTGTGAACGTTGTGAGCGACTGTTCAAGGATTGACTGGGCACGACTTCACACTGCAAACAAACTAATTCATTGTAAGCTTTATAGACTTCAGAGAGCCTGACAAATGAAATAATGACATAAGAGTCAGTCAACAGACACACGTATATACATTAATGGTTGAAGATGAAGCACCCTAGAACTTCATTTGCGCTCCAAGTGCGCACACTTATGACAGGACAAGGAGCGCTGTGATCTAGAAAATCAAAACAAGACTAAAAAAATAAAGCGCGCAAATAAAAACAAGCGTCCCTAGCACCTTGAGAAACACAGATAGTAGCATTGAAGTCTGGGGGCGTGCATACTATTCAGTTTCATTGAATAAATACTTTGATATTCATACCTTTTCGAGATTACCTAACAGAACACCACCCAGGTCTGCATGGAGGGCCTTCGTCAAATTAACTGCCTGTTCGTAAGTGAGATCCCATTTGGGGGACCTTAAGACTACTTCCCAACGGCTACTGCGCACGGTAACAATGAGATCACGCAGTTTCCAGATCGCTTCATCACCGATTTTGAAGCGATCAAGCACAGCATCAGTATTGGGACCGATGCTGAGCAGGGGGGCGAAAACCTTGGGTTCCAGTATGGCATTCTTCCTGGACAACAAGAAAGCGTCAGCGTTTCTACACTGTTTAATCTTGGGGCTTCCGGCGGAGCCTGAAGAAGCCAAGGCTGTGGCGTGCTTCACAGCTGCTGACTTCAAGTTTGGTGGCATAGGTGGCTTGGGCGAAGCAGCAATGACAAAGTCGCACTGAAACTGTTTGGGAGAGCGAGCCGAACATCGAATTTGAGCCCCAGTAGGGCACAATGGTGCAGGTAAGGACGGGATGCCAGTTGGGTTCACTGGAGTTGCAGCATCTGTAGCAGTAGTTGGATATGTCAGAAGCAGATAAAAAAATGAATTCGAACGTACACCGATGCGGAGGTGTGATATCTTCTTTGCTGCAACGCTCCATAAAACGCTTGAGATGGGGTATTGCAAACTCCTCACAGAACGCCTGCACGAGGACGGAGACGTCTCCTCCAATTTGTTTAGGTGCCTCTTGCAGTTCTCGTGGAGTGACATAAAGGTCGACTGCAATACAATTGGGAGTGACGGTCTCGGTGATATGAGATCCGGGGCAGCGAATGAGAAGAGACAGCCCACCATCAAGACGATCTTGAGTAGCAAGCTAAGATGGTGCTAAGTCAGGTTCAACATAAGATACTCATAGTACATACTGCATCAAACACATCTTCAAGACCCGCCTCGACAAAATCCTCATGAGTCAAGCTCTGCCTCTCCGTGAACGATGGAATCTTGTTGAAGGCTACATAAGCAGGATGAAGACCACCAAGTGTTCTCGTCTGGTAGTGTGTGCCATCAAGATGTGACTCATTTTTGAGTAGCGCACGAGCAGCTGCTTGACGCTCTGCATTGCTGAATCCTAGTGTGAAGTTGGAGTTGGAGTAGAGAGCTGCTAATCCAGCAAGGGTAAAGCGCGGTGGACAATAGCTCAACTTATCTTGGACCAGAGTGTCTGTAGGGTTTAGCTTTGAATCAGTAGAAGCAGACATGATAGCGGTTGAAGGTGGGATGCGAAGAGTGAGTAAAGCATTACATGTAGCGGCGCCTATCTTGATATAGTAAAGCTGCTATATGAATTAAAATGGTCTATTGGAAAGATACAAGCCCCCTAGTAAGCGCTGCGCATGGCGAAAATGAGCCAAAGGTGTAATGGAACATGGTCTCGGGGGTGAATTGAGGACCGTTCTAGTTCATAGACTGATGCTGATAGAGGCGAAGGTGTAAATGGAGCGTGGTCTCAGGGTTCATAGACTGATGCTGATAGAGGTGAAGGTGTAAGTGGAATGTGGTCTTGGGGGTGAATTGAGGATTTTGCTGTCGTTCTGGTTCATAGACTGATGCTGATAGAGGCGAAGGTGTAAATGGATCGTGGTCTCGGGGTTCATAGACTGATGCTGATAGAGGCGAAGGTGTAAGTGGAACGTGGTCTTGGGGGTGAATTGAGGATTTTGCTGTCGTTCTGGTTCATAGACTAATACTGATAGAGGTAAAGGTGTAATGGATGACACAGGGACTCAAACTGCCAGATACTTTCAATATTGATGGACGTGTACTCGAAACATTGAGTCTACTAATCTACAATAGTCGATATATAATCTGCAATGGCCTGGGTAGTCTGTATTTGCTCCTCATATTCCACGAGTTCTGTAGCATGCTCCGAAGCGGTGGTATCAGTGTTATCATGATCTGGAATTAATTTGATCAAAATATATTCAATACCTGAAAGACAAATGCACCGGATGGATGATTCAAACAGTCTACCACACTGGACTCGTCCTCTACCAAGGAGCCAATCCGTCGTCCATGACCTCGAATACCTGAAAAACTAGATTGCGACTCAATTTCATCTAGCTGGAACAAATGTACTGAGTTAACTGCGGAGCGCAGTTTCCAGCGCTTCTGCAGCTCTCTACCCAGCGGAGGATTTGAGTGAAGGAGTTTACTGATGGCTGTAGACATTTGTGCACTTTCATCATGAATGGCAGTCCGCAGACAACGAACTTCGATGTTAAGGCGCTCAACCTCTTCATGCGCACGACGAAGCTTTAAGAATTTGACCAGGGCTTCTCGATGTGTCGGCTTGGTCCAGTCAAGTTCACGAGTGTCAGTGCGTGAATATCGGAGAACGTCAAATTCTCCTAGGAAGCTATACTCGGCGATGTTACGACTGGGATGAGTCGAGCTATCTGTGTCTGAATAGACAATCGGCAAGATGCCAGATAGACGGAGGTCTTCTCTCGGTTGAGAGATCAAGGTTTTCTGAAGGACAATGTTCCAGGTAGAACCCAGTAGATTAAAGTAAAGAATACAATCGTTGGTAGCTAAGTGTCATATCCCGCGTTCCGGACCCGGACCTATCACACTCATCATTTCCGGATTTCCGGATCCGGCCGACTTCTATGTATCGTCCGGATCCGACCCGCGTCTAACTTCCGCGCCTTATCCCTTTGGTATTTCCCTTATCAGTTAGTACGCTTTATTTTCCGTTCCTCATTCATCTCCGTCTTCATTTTACTAAGTTCCGATAGACTAGTGATAGTCGTACCATATGTTTTCTTCATAGCTTTACATAGCTTCGCACTGCACTTACTATTCTCCGTTATGTCCTCAGTAGTATATAAACCCCTGTACAATCTCTGTAGTTTCCTCAGTTCGAATATCATATTAGACTCTGCTCATTCTCTCCTCCGTCCGACTTGAGTTTCTCTCTCGTCGACCTCCGCTCGTCTTAGGATCGACTCCTATAGACTTGACACCTCCGCCTCTACCTCTGGTAGTCCTCCGCTGTTTCCTTTCTAGTTCGGACTTCGTCCGGATTAGTCTTATCTCTTGTTTCCGAACGTCCGCCGGAATTCCCGCGCATCGGACATCGGACTCCGGACATCGCCCGACGCCCTCCGGACATCGTCCGGTAACCTTCGGACATCGTTCAACAACCCTCGGAAGTTAGGGGCACGTACTCGGGTAAGGGGCGCAGCGCACGAGCTGAAGCCAAGCCCTTCGGATCCGACCCTTTGAGCACGTTCTTAACAGTAT